TAGTGGTGATGTTTGTAAATCAGCTATTGTGAGCACGACCATTTGAAGAAAATTACAATGCCAGTAGCACGTCCTTATTTACTGGAAATTGCTGGTGAATCCTCTGTTATCTCTATCGGTTCCCTCCTTGGACAATTGAATAAAAAGGGCTTCGTCATTACCTCCAATCGCCACTATGATCGTCATATTTAACATAAATCTCATTTTGGTGTACCTATAATTTTTAAATCAGCACCGTAGTCGGTATGCATGATTTCTGTGTAGCATCAATCTTCTCACTTACCATTGTTAGTGTCATTGTCATAGTAGGAAATCTTCATTTTCTAAGTAAGCATCTCACATAAGTTTAGCCATACTACTTTCTTTGGTTAGCACCGTCACTTTTCTCTATCAAGTACATGGCCTCATATGTATCTATTTTTCTGTAATTGGCAATTAGTACAATTCAACCAATTTTGATTTCATCTCAAATGAAAAAAGAAAACAAAAAAATGGATAATTATTTTTCTGCTTCGATTTTGTTTTGTTCAAAACCCTGTGAATGTTGCTTCAGTCTCGTCCATTGTTAATGTCAGTCATGGCTCCATCATTGCCGAATGTTGCAATCAGAAAAATTGTTTTTACAAAGGTTTCTCGTTTCTGTGTCCCACTTGTTGGATCCAAATACCGGAGGAAATGAAACTTTGGAACTTATGTATCTATTATAGTAGTAGATTTGGCAGTTAAGGTATAATGCTAGAGTAATATTGTACAACATTGAAGAGCAACTGTGTTTGTGCTTTTAGAAATTAATAACTTATTTGAAAGCTAGTTGGTTCCTATTAACTCTATGAAATGTAGATATATAACAATAAAATCATGTGTCCTACGGCACAAACTGATCTTGCAACCATATTTTATTGGTCCACAAAGGAGGAAAGAGAAACATGTAATCCAAGTAAAGATGGCTTTGGGTAGAAAGGAACTGATTAACAATTTGTTGATAGAAAATCTAGAGTCACCACTACTTTCTTCCTTCAGGGAATACGAAATGCTGCATTTGAGTAAACTACTGGGGAGTTAACCTACCAAATTTGAATTAAAGTGCCATAGCAATAGCATCATATAGATACATGCCTCTTAGGTTCACAAAAAATTAAGCATCCAGTCTTGTAGGGGATTGAGCCTTTTCTCTAGATGATAGTTAATAGGGAAATGATCATGGGTCTCCTTGGGAAGATAAATTTTAAGGAATTGGGCATTGTTGCCTTCAAAATGTTGTGTTCTCCGTAGTTTTGCGGCTCTTGCCCATTCTGATATTGCTTAATCTTTGTTGTTTTCCTTCTTGATTATTTCTTAACTACACTAATCCACCGTATGTTTAGGCCCTTGTGAACCCTTCACTGTATCGAACAAACACCAAATTAAGGATACCCTCTAATTTTGAAATCTGGAATGACTATCAGTGGTCACTGAATATAGAGCCAGTAGCACGCTATTACTTGTTTTGTGCTGCCCTTTGATGTGTATTTTCCCTGTGTTTCAGAGCTTGTTTTACTCCAAAGATGTATTTTAAGTTAATATAGCTCTAGCTGCTCCACCAAATTGGATAGCTTCTTTTTTTTTTTTTCCCTTTGTTTCCAACACACACCACGCCCCCCCCCCCCCCCCCCCCCCCCCCCCCCCACAAATTTTGACTAATATGAATTAGACTTGAAGTTGTTTACTGTCTAATAATGATAACCTTGATCATAAACAGTTATCCACCTGAAAGGGCACTAGAAGTGATCCCATGATATGTCTTGTGAATTTGGGCAGCTCACTGGTGTTCTCTGCAGCTTTACTGGAAAAGTCCATAGTGCTATTGAATATTTGGATGCTTGCAGCAAGGCACAATTCGAGAACGTCTGAATTCGAATAGTGGGCGCTCATCTTGTTTACCTAGGAATACTGGGACCGAGACAAAGTGTTACGTTGGTCTGATAAGGAAAATAAAGTGATACTGGTATTGCTTGCTGCTTCAAATACCTCCTGGTGGTTTCTGAGGTGATTTTCAATAACTCCACCAGTATGCCAAACTTCTCGTCAAGGAAGAAATATTGTTAGTCACCGAAGATGGGGGACTGGTGGAGCACTTCTCAAAGGGCAGGGGCAGTGTGAGTTCTGCGCTCGAGCTGGTAACCTTGTTATGGAAGATGGGAGGTCCTTTCTTGCCTCATTTGCTGCTGAGTATCGTGCTTGCTTGCTTCATTAACATCGTGTTTTCGCATTAATTTTCTCGTTGTTTTGTTGTCTGCAGATAATTTTTTTAGTTATTCTGGGGATCAAAATGAGCCAGCATCAAATTGGCCTCTCCAAACTTTACTGTTAGATACTAGTGTCGTGCACATTTTATACTGAGCATGAAACTTATGTGAAGATTGATTCCGTTGTAATGTTAATGAGTTTTTCACTTACAGTTGCTTAGGTGGGGAGTGGGCAGGTAGGAGGGTGATGAACGTGTTCTTCTACTTCTTGTTTTTGAACAAGAAAGTGTCATTCTTCTAGCTGGCAAAAATGTAGAGAATATACATGAAATGCATTTGAAGTTTTGAACCGAAAAATATGGTTCTATGAGGTCTTACTTTTTTTGGTTCTATGAGGTCTTACCAACGTGGATAACATTCCAAACTTTAGGACTGTTGAAGGGTTTACTAGATTGTTAACTTCAGAATTCCAGAATTAGTCGAGGTGCACGCAAGCTGTCTTGGACATTCGATTTTCAAAAAATATTGAACATTGTAACAACCTTCTAAACTGTAACTAACTAATTAGGGTTCCAGTTTCCAAAAATAGATTTTGGGGCTAAACAAGATCAACTCAAACCCACCGCTTCATATTTGGTTCAAGAAAGACCCCTCTGGAGGAGGTTTTTATTTTGGAAGATCAATGAACTTCATTGATAGTAAAAAAATGGAGGAGGTTAGAATGGTGTAGATGTTCTGGAATATAGTGGAAGGAGAAACAACTATCCAAATTTTACAAATAGTCCTCGTAATTTACAACGAATTCTATTTTTAGTTCCGTTGTTCCTGATTTTTTTTTCCCCATTTGTGTTATATTTATGTCCCTGTGATGACGTCCGTTAATTTCAACGTTAAAATGAATTAATGAAGGGGAAATCGGGGACATTCATCATAGAGAGGGAGGAAAATAAAACTTTTGGAAAACTAAAATCTACTAGGTACACCGATATTATTGGAACATCACAACACAAATTATTGCAACATCACAGCTTGTGCATATCTTGTGTTACATCAAGGAAATCATAATTGTAGTATGACACTTAGTTCTCCTTATACAACATTATGATTGGATTATTGCTCTTGTTCCTCCCAATTTGATCTTGTCAGCATTCAACCATTTTTTGGCATTAAGTATATTCTTCATCCAATTTTTTTTTTTTTACAAACTCAGCAATTGTCTATTCCTTCACTACGAGTGATGATTATGTTGGTCTACTTCAGGCTTCATTTCGCTCCTACTATTATCATGGGCTTCATAAGTGATTGAAATATAATTAGGCACTAAACTACGCTAGAAATTTGTATATGGCAATCAATAGTGGCCGATATATGCAATCAATAGTGACCGTTAATTTCTGAATTTCTCACTAGGAGGTTAGGGATTCGAGTCTTCCCACTGCGTGTGTTCTTCCCTTTGTACTATTTGTTTTTTTCTTACCTTAATGGAGCTTGTAGTTGAGTAGAACTTATAGTAATTGTGATCCCTTTGATGTTGTTGGATTTGGTTATCTTGTGAACTCTCACACAATTAATGTAGTGCCCTGTGGTTTGTACTTCATTACATGATGTAATGATCTCCCCTATTGATTGAAAAAAAAACCCTGATCCTCATGAGTTCGAAGATTATGTGCCGCCAAAACCATCTCTACTTGTTACATGCAGGAATCCCTACTGCAAACTCCACCGCAAAAAACCCGTTATCATAAGCGCTAGTGGCGGTGCCTAAGGTTATGCTTCAGCCGCCTGTGAACCATGCCTGGTTCCTCCCTCCTCCTCCGGGTCCACGCTATCCGCACACCTACAGGGAGGAGGAGTATCCGAAGGATCATCGATACCGCTTGCAGCACATGGAGCCGATTGTGTATGATAGGCCACGACCTCAATATGACACATAGTATCATCGGAGGCGATGATGCATGGGGTTATCAGAGGCCACCACTGCCTCTACCGCCACATTATGTTATGATGGGGCCAGGCATGCAAATACTGGCCACTATTGATTGCCATATGCGGATTTCTGAATTGTAACAAGTTCCAGTTGTTTATTATGTATAGATTCGAGTTTGAGGACACCCACTTGGTCCATTTATTTTTATGTATTAGATCTTTACAGAGGTTATCCCATAAATGAGTACTAACTTGATGTACTTTTCTTTGGGATACTCGTAATACTAATAGGTGTCATACTTGACGAGATACGCATTCAATACACGAATCAATAGCTTCAACTTGATCTGCAGCATGCTTCTACTCACAAAAGGATACCTGGATTTGATTTCTTTGCTTAACTTCATCTTCATGTATCCTCTTCGAGTTAATAAAAGTTTCGTTTGCTGAGAAAAAAAAACTTCATCTTCATGTATTATGATGGAACGGGATCAAGCTAAGGCTTGGATCCACATTTCATGCAGGAGCCGAGTGTGGTGTGGATGAGTAGCGGCTTGGATGCCTATAATAGGTTTGCCTCATCCTCTGTTGGCTCGTCCATCTTGTTGCTTAGCGGCACCCCTTTTTCTATCCCCGTAAGAATAGACCAAATACATGTTAGTAATTAACAAAAAAATAAAAATAAAAATAAAAAAATAATGAGAAAACGTGGCCTTCTCTTTAAGGTAATGAGAAAAGGTTTTCTTCCTGTAAAAGGAAAAGCCCCCCAAAAAAATAAAAATAAAATATAGCAGCAGTCGAAAAGGTGAATGGCTAAAAGGATGGAGTGGGAAGAGCAGTTTACTCTCTTATCAGAGCCAGGTTTCGATCCTAGGACCTGTCGGTTATGGGCCGACCACGCTTCCGCTGCGCCACTCTGATTTGTTGAACACCTAAAGCTTTAAAACTAATTTAACCAACTACCGTGGAGGCATTTTATATGGATTTTACCAGTAGCCTTGGGTAGAAGTTTGTCCACAACTATTTTTACTTTTCTTTCTTTGATATCCAAGTGTCTTTTCCTTTGCTAAAGCTTGTGCTCTCTGTCTTGTATCGTGTTTTCTCTCTTCTCATACTTTTTTTGTCGTACTTTTTTTTGTATGTACTCAATTCCTTGGCCAAGTTCTCCGACAAGAAGAACTTTTTTTTGTTTTGGAGAACTTGGGCAGAAGTGGCTTGCCTCATTGAAATTTTCAATTTCCAGCAACCTCTTCACTAAATGCTACTGATTCTCGTGCCATGTTCTGATCCACATTACTTTTTGGCTGAATCATTTGGTTGGACAGACATTTGGTTGGACGCTGTCTGTGTTGTCGGATTTTAGAACGAAAGATTCATGTTGTGATTTTGACCTTGTAAATTCTTGATTCGATTTCTTTCTTCCATTTATAGGCCACCCACCTATTCAATTGATGGTTCAGATCAATTTGATCCAATGGCTATTAACTAGCTTCCTGAATAATCCTAATAAAATACTATCTAGATTCGATTTCTTTCTTTTATTTATAGGCCACCTACCTATTCAATTGATGGTTTAGATCAATTTGATCCAATGGCTATTAACTAGCTTCCTGAATAATCCTAATAAAATACTATCTAGGAAAAATTTTAGAAGTGGTCCTGTAACTTTCGATAAATTCTTATTTCTTTCCTGTAGTATCAATTGTACGAAATTTAAGCTTCTATTTTTCTTCATCAGCTATTTTCGCTCCTGTGATGACGTCGATCAGTATCAACGTTGAAATGAAGGGGCAATCAAGAAAATTAACCATACTGGAGCGAATATTGAACTAGTGGTGAATTACAAATTTGTGTAGAAGGCACGAAATCTAATCTACTCCATCCAAAGGGATTGGAGATGGGATGGGTGAGGTTTGAATTTTCCCCACATGCATGCATGGGAGTACAATATGGTTACAACTTGCATTTAATACTCCCTCCGACCCTTTTTTAGAGTCCAGTATTTCATTTTGGGATTTTTTTTAATAAATGTCCATTTTGTAAAGTTAGTAAGTAAAAATTGGTACATTTTTTATTTTGCCTCCAAAAGTAGATTTTATTTTGGAAAGTTAGTGAGTAAAAGTGTAATGATGATACTCTCATAGAGGATAATAAGTACGAAAAATTATAGTAAGTTTTAGAGTATAATTATGATGTCTCCGTAAAAAGTTGAAGTTGAATTTACAAAGCGAGACTTTTAAAAAGGGACGGAGAGATTAGTACTTATAGGTAAGCAAAATTAAACTCATTCAAAATAAAGCCATCAAATCTGATTTCCGTTGTTTGATTGGGAGACTCATCAATTTCTTTACGATTATTTGTAATTGTAAGGGCTCTTTTTAAAGTAGCAGATGTATTGGTGTTTGAATATGTTTCTCTAACATGTTTCTAGTTAGTATTGCGAAAGTAGCAATGGAAACCAAAAAGAGACTCTGCACCTTTTGGGAATCATCTGATTGGATCAAGATTTCAAGATAATGAAAAGTTAGATGATTATATCGAACACATATGGGTATCGGCCGATTGAGTTGACTTTTCACGAGGGCTCTTTGAAAAAATATTTTATATTTATGAATAGCTCGGATCGTTTATGTGAAATCAACTCCACAAACAATTTGGGGAGTGCAAATATCAATGCCCTTTATTGAAATATACCCATTTTTTTCCTGCGACTTTCTAAAATTGACAAATATTATTGGAGATCTCAAAATAGTATAGTGGACAACCCATACCGAGCGGAGGAAGATACAATTTGGGTACCCTCCATTCTGGTCTCGAATTGGACCAAGTTGTTCATCTCAATATGGTTTTTTTTGCCCACTTGAATAATCGTAATCAAGATCTTTAAAGTATTCATTACTTATGTAAGAGTTCAAAATACCTATTACTAATAAAAGCGAAAAAATTACATGATACAATATATGCCACACTTGTGAACTTGAAAACAACTGGGGTTGTAGATGAATTGGGAGATGTTGCTGTGCCGTGGTGTGTGCAGCACTGTGCTGCGTACCTTCGAGCCATCGGATAGTGCATCCGACGGCTCGAATCTTATCAATAGAGAGGTGAAAATAAAGTAGTTAGCGTACAATGACAACAATTCTGTTTTCAAAGGTTAATGTGAGTACACCAGATAGTGTAACCATAGTTTTATTGGTGTAAATGGGTGTGCAAGTGGATGTGGTGCTAGTATTGCTCGTAGTAGTAGTTGTTTTGTTTTTGATTAGGTAATCCTCCTATTGTGGAGGTTTGGTTGTAGTGATTGCCTTTTCAATGGATGATTTTTTGATTGTATTATTTGGGAATAGTAATGTCCAGAAATAACAATGTGTCTGCCAAGGTTTAGGAATATTCACTGCCGTGTAGGCAGTCGCATCTATCAATGTATCTTTGCAATTTGATCTTCGGATCTTCGTTGACAATGGCAGCGATCTTCATCTAAAAAACCATGCTTCAAATCTCGAAACTGATTCTTTAAATCTTAAAAAAAAACGAAGAATTGCACGAAGAATGTCTCGTATTTTTATACAATAAACATTGCATAACTTTTAACATTGTGATAAATTAGAGAAAAAACTTACAATTAATTTTTTTTAGATCTTTAAAATAAGATCAAGATTGAATATAATTGCTTATGTCAGAAAATTAAAATTCAAAATTTTGAAGGGAAAAGAGCGATAGTTTTGACTGTCTTATTGCACAACACTCAGAACATTTTGTACACTAATAGGGACAGAACTAAGATTTCATAAAGGATGACAGTTTGAAAGTTGAAAAAAAAATTGAAATTCCAAGGATCAAGAGTATAAAAATGTTACTCAGCCAAAGAGTATAAAAATGTTATTTAAAATGATACCCCATACTAAACACACCATATCCAGAGCTCTTTAAAAAACATAAACAATCGTAGAAAGCAAAATAAAAGTTTATCAACACATAAACTCAACTATTTATCAAAATATGTGGCGCCCTTTTAGATAACAAAAGTCATCAATGATTTGAGTTTGCCCTAATTTTCGTTCTTAGGAAGAGGTGTGGTTTTATTGTGGTCCTAGCGAGAGAATCGAAATGTTGTCCTGAATGAGGAAAAAAAACGTGTGTGAATATTATTGTAGAAGATATGGCTGTAGGTTTCCAATTCTTTCTAAAGTAGTAATGTATTCTATTGTTTAGTATTATATGTAGAAAAAAAATTACAGATAATTATAAATTTGTCCTAATTGGGGGTATCCAAACTGTGATGATTTTAGAATAATTCTTTTATGTTAGAATTATATACATTTTCAATACTTTGTCCGCCTTTGGGGAAAGAACAAATGATTAGATTTAAGAACAAAAACGCAAAATACTTTGTCCGCCTTTGGGGAAAGAACAAAATGATTAGATTTAAGAACAAAAACGCAAAAAAAAAAAAACAAAAACAACAACGCAAACAAAACAATAAAGAGAAGAAGAAAAAAACCAAAATTCCAAATAGTAATCGTTATTTATTATTGGGATTTTAATAATTCATAAGGACAGAAATGCTTCGGGGCTAAATGAGTTATTTTGTATGTCAATGAATATATGAAATCAATGCCATACGAGTACTCTAACCAGCCATTGGACCTCATTTGTTAAATGAGCTCCAGTGGTCGAATCCCAACCTCTCGACCTCCTTTCCGGTCGATGAGGTTGAGTCTTCGGTTACTTTTGGCTTCTTTACAATGTCTTGAACTTCGATTCTTCGGGGTTAAACTTTTCTTCTACAGGATTGTAGGTACCTAGAAAATAAGGTACTTCGACTAGGATTTTGTTGTCAGAGACATCCAAAAGTAAGTTTGGATTTGTACATCCGTGCTCTTGAATAGACAAATAGAACCCCTGTAGCCATTGTTCCACAGTTCCTTGAAAGCTAAGTAGCCGTTTATGTCATTGATATGGATCTTCGGAGCTTTGGGTAAGAGTTTATTAACTACTATCTTCACTTTTGTTTCTTTGACAGCCAAGTGTCTTTTCATTTGTTGAATCTTTTGCTCTTTGTCGGACCTCGTGTTTCCTCTCTTCTCATGAAAGCAAGGTAGTCTTTCATGTCATTTATACAATTTTACCAGGAGCATTGGGTAGGAGTTTGTCCACAACTATTTTTACTTTTCTTTTCATTGATGTCCAAGTGTCTTCTCATTTGCTAAAGCTTGGGCTGTCTGTCTGGCATTGTGATTCCTCTCTTCTCAAACTTCTCGTACTTTTTTTGTATGCACTCAATTCCTTGGCCAAGTTGTCCAAATGAGAACTTTTTTTTTTGTTGAAGAACTTGGCCAAGGAAGTGGCTTGCTTTATTGAATTTTCCAATTCCCTTTCCAGCAACATCTTTCACTAAATGCTACCAATTGATGGTTCAGATCAACTTGATCCAATGGCTATTAACTAGCTTCCTGAATAATCCTAATAAAATACTCCACTGTCTAGGGAAAATTTTAGAAGTGGTCCTTGTAACTTTCTATAAATTCTTATTTTGTCCCTGTAGTATTAATTGTACGAAATTTAAGCTTCTATTTTTCTTCATGAGCTATTTTCGCTCCTGTGTTGAAGTTGATTAGTATCAACGTTAAAATGAAGGGGCAATCAAGAAAATTAACCATACAGGAACGAATATAGAACTAGTGGTGAATTACAGGGACCGTTTCTCAAGCTTTTTGCCTTGGGTTTTAAAAATCTCTGCTAAAAAAAGAGCCCTACAAATTTGGGTACAAGGCACGAAATCTAATGTACTCCAAGGGATTGGAGATTGATGGGTGAGGTTTGAATTTTTCCCACGTGCATGGGAGTACAAGATGGTTACAACTTGCATCTAATACTCCCTTCGTCTCTTTTTTTAGAGTCCAGTATTCCATTTTGAAATG